CTCACCCTGTTGACAACCCCAGACCCCCCAGACCCCGTCCCACTCACCCTGTTGATGGCCATGCCCTCCCTGGCGGCCGGGGGGGTGACCTGGTGCAGGATGGCCGCCCCCACCACCCCGCCCAGCAGCTGGGCCGCGATGTAGAAGAGGGCCCTGAGCAGGGAGAGCTGCGAGCCCACCAGCAGGGCCACCGTCACCGCCGGGTTCACGTGGGCGCCGCTGACGGGGCCCAGGGCCTGCACCAGGGTGCCGATGGCCAGCCCGAAGGCCAGGGCGATCTGCAGCACCCCCGGGCTGGCCATGGAGGGCCAGGCCAGCGCCGAGCCCAGCCCGAAGAGCACGAACACCAAGGTGGCCAAGAACTCGGCCAGCACGGCGCGGCTGAAGGCGATGGAGCGCAGCTCCCACATCCTCGGGAGATCTGAGGGCCCGTCCGGCCTGGAACGTCCTCGGGGCTGTGTCCGAGCTGGAACGTGGGCTCTGGGCTGTGTCCGGTCTTAAACGTGGGCTCTGGGCTGTGTCCGGTCTTAAACGTGGGCTCTGGGCTGTGTCCGGCCTGGAACGTCCTCAAGGCTGTGTCTGACCCAGAGTGTGGGCTGTGTCCAGCCTGGAGCGTCCTCAAGGCTGTGTCCAACCCAGAGTGTCCTCAAGGCTGTGTCCAGCCTGGAGTGTCCTCAAGGCTGTGTCCAGCCTGGAGTGTCCTGGGGGCTGTGTCCAACCTGGAATGTCCTCGGCCCCGAGCGTCCTCGGGACTGTGTCTGGCCTGGAACGTGGGCTCTGGGCTGTGTCCGGCCTGGAATGTCCTGGGGGCTGTGTCCGGCCTGGAGTGTCCTCAAGGCTGTGTCCGGGCGGGCCGAGGAGGGCCGAGGGGTTTATATGGGCCAGGGGGTACCCGCTGGGGGACACGGGACTGTGATCCCGGGAAACCTGATGCTCTTTTTCCTCGTGTGTTCCAGCTGAGGGAACATCAGAGCCGGCCCCTCCCGTGGAACGGGAACACAGCCACCCCCGGGAGGTCCTGACTCGGCCTCCGGCCATGCCAGGGGGGCTGTTCCCTCTCTCCCGGCCTTTATTCCCAGGGATCTGTTCCCTCTCTCCCAACCTTTATTCCCAGGGATCTGTTCCCTCTCTCCCAACCTTTATTCCCAGGGATCTGTTCCCTCTCTCCCGGCCTTTGTTCCCTGGGGATCTGGCCCCAGAGGTGCTCCTGCTCTTCCCTCCTCCAAGTTGTGTCTCAGGAATGCAGCCACCCCCGGGAGGTCCTGACTCGGCCTCCGGCCATGCCAGGGGGGCTGTTCCCTCTCTCCCAACCTTTATTCCCAGGGATCTGGTCCCAGAGGTTCTGTTCCCTCTCTCCTACCCTTTATTCCCAGGGATCTGACCTCAGAGGTGCTGCTGCTCTTCCCTTCTCTGGGATTTGTCCCAGGAATGCAGCTACTCCTGGGAGGTTCTGACTCGGCTTCCAGCCATGTCAGCCTCTCTCCTGGAGTTCCAGGAGTTCCCTCTCTCCTGGCCTTTATTCCCAGGGATCTGGGCCCAGAGGTGCTGTTCCCTCTCTCCCAGCCTTTATTCCCAGGGATCTGGCCCCAGAGGTGCTGTTCCCTCTCTCCCAGCCTTTATTCCCAGGGAT